TCTCGCTCTACTATGAGGTCTAATTCTGTCCTGGCAAAGTAATATACAGTGGGCCAAGAAACAGCTGTCCTAGGAGTGCACGCAAGCTTTACTTAAGTAAATACCAATTTCCTTCATTATTCGTTCACATTGGTTACCAGTCAAAATGGAGACCTGCTTTGTGAAGGATCCAAAGACTCCGGATCGGAAAGAAAATTAAAGACTGCATCTCCGATGTTAGCTTTAGTAAGAATTCCTGGCAATTGTACAATGCCTATGTCTTAAGAGATGCCACCGGATTCATCTGACAACATTCCGACCGGAAACCTTGCAGCAAAAGATTGAAATAAATTATTTATAGACTGATCGGCGAGTTGTACACACTGGTATTCGGACTTTTATAATAGGTTCTTTTGGAAGAGGATTTATGAGAGAATTGAATCAAATGTCCGCAAAATGAGTAGAGCATTCAGGAATATAAACTCTTCTTGGAATTTACGACGAATTCTACTGCTTCCCCAACCCCCCCCCCCTCCCACCCCCCAAGGGCACGCCCAACAGACCGCTTTTAAGATAGAGGATTACAATAAAATGAAGTCGTATAAGATGATTTATGATCTATTTTAACCCCCCCCCCAATCGGTGAATCTAATGTGCTCGGTCAGTCTAAAATTGATGCTCTTTCAAGTAGACCCTGCCCTTAGAGGGCGGAACAAAATTTTAGATTATTATAGTGAGTATAGTTATAAATATGCAACAATAGTCATTCGATTTTACTACCGAATTTCCCCTATTCGGAATCTGAATGACATTTTTAAACACGACAGAGGCAACGTGAATACTCTGTTTAATGTAATTTTGACATAAAAGATGGAACTTAGTTTAACATAAATTTTAGAAAAATTTTGCCTTGTAACTTAATTTTTTTGTCATAAACAAACTTATTTTTAGGTTTAAATAAAAAATTTATTTTCCCAGTTAAGTACTAATGTAACGGGAGAAATGTGAATTTCCGCTAAAACACAATTCTACCTATGTAAAATATATCCTTTGTGTAACTTAATAACCAATAACATAACGAATGACATAATAGTGAGCCCAATTGTTATGGTTTCCAATTGTCTACCTAACTTATTAAACAAGGATCATAGATTCAATATAGACATCCACGTATTAACAATTACATCACACAAAACTAATTCTGGCGTAGTTACTCACTGTGAGTTCAGCTTACTTTCAAGAATACAGTTTGAAAATGTTCTATATATCTGGACCGGTTAAATTCCAAGAAATAACTAGCTAACATCTCCTGTAGAAGATCAAATTGTGTCAAACTATCTTTTCAACATGGTCAAATTCTCATAGTGATGATATTTCGTCAGCCATCTTACCACTCTTAACTGAAAATGTTCCAAGTTCTTCAAAATTTAAAATCGCTAGTTCTGACAGCGAGATTTGGACGTTTTGGAATAACGCATTCCTCACAATATTTACATCGAACCAGTAGTGAAGAGTAGATTTTCGTGAGCTTTTTAAATAGCTATTTAGATTATTTTTTTCGAACTGTAGTTTTTACGGTGTGCTCACCTCTTCCATGCTGACAAGGGAGTTGCTATGTGATGTGCGGTTGAGAGAGGATGTTGAGGCATTACCACCATGACCTTCACTTCCAGTATGGGGAATTGAACCAATCAGCGGTTGAGACGCTCCTCCCATTGCTGGCATGGAGTTTGAGGAGGCCTCGGTTGCCGCGTGATACAAATTTCGACGTGCTCGGTCGTGAACCTCTCGACTTGTATAGCGAACGTCGAAGGTGTATTCACGACCTAGAGCAACACGAAATTCAAAAAAATTTAAGATCTTTCGTTCCAAATTGTGTACGTTAGAGTGAATACTTAATTGTTTTTTTAATATAATAAATATGCATTCTTTATTTTCCCTTGATTGGAGTGTGAGATAGATTTACCTTCCCGTGGTGCACCCTGGGCAACGTATGCTCATACGGCAAAAAAGTCTATTAACTGGCAGTTGACTTCTCACTTCAAACTACCATGACCCCACTCTTTGTCATATTCCACTACTACACAGTACTCATCTTACCCTTTCTGGGCCTTTGTGTCTGTCTGTCTCTTTTACATCTGTGAATCACGCTTCTATTCCCCCCTCCCGAATTCTTCTCACTTTGATGTTCCTCCTCCCCTCTGTAAAGCCCGAAGTCAACTAAAGAGCTAATGGTAACTATCGAAACGCCTGACATTTGCTATAAATCTTCCCTTGATTATATTTTTTCTTAAAAATTTTAATGATAAGCAAATTACGTAGATATAAAAAAAGAATTTGCTTTCCTAGTTCAATTTTTTGCCCATATCTTTCATTTAAAAAATGGAATTTTTTCAATTTTTCGGGTATTTAATAAATTTGATATTTCATAAATATTGGATATTTGAGAGGAAAAAATCGAAAATTCATCCAATCGTGTTAGGACAAAACAAATTGTAATCTTATTAATCAATGAATATGTCGCTCCCCCTTTAGCTCTATTGAACTCGACGAAGTTGGCTAGACCATGGCATGCCGAACGTCTGGCTCATTTCCTCCAAACGAGTAACGGTGTTACGGTTCCTCATTCCAAGCGGCCCTTTGTCAAACATATCAAATTTCTTATTTCAGATGGGTAAGAAGACCAAAAGACGATCATTAGAACACAATACCTTGTGGAGCATAATGAATTCACATTTCAATTATTAACCACAATTCAAGAGTACTTTCTCAAGGGCAGCATCTTTTTTCTGAAAGGTCATATTTAACCAAAACGGTGCCAGGAACTCTGCGTCCTTTGAAATAGTCGCAACTCCTGAAATCATTATACCTACTTAATTACTTTAAGAAAGAAGGATTTAGTAAAATAGCACCTTGTACGTTCAACTTGGTGGGTTTAATGATCTTTCGCCTTTTGAATTCCTTCAAGATGACTCTGTGACGGCTTCGATATAACCTCAAAATATTATGATTCCATTGAAAAGTATGAAGCGATGGTAAAAATGTCTAAGAATGAACGTTTTTTAACTAATGTTAAATAAGAAAAATTAATAATGAACACACCCTCAAATATTAGTTCAAGATCTGTTTAGCATGATCTCTACAAGAATTAATTAAATTAAAATTATTCATTTATTTTCAGGAAAAATTTTTAAATTAAGTTAACTTGCAAGCATTACATCAGTAATAAAATTTAGGGTAAAACGGCATATATTAACAAAATATTTGATTTTAATCGTTAATTTATTTATAAATAATTTTAGATTTTATGGGATATTAGAGTCTCCTTAGTTCACAGTTCAAAATTCCGAAAAAATTTAGCTAATTAAACTTATCCGAAAAATCCGATTAAAATCAAGATTTTATTGTCACATTACCTACACTCTTTCTGTGCCGTCTATAAGCAAGGTTAATTTTATTCAATTAAAGCTGACAATAGTAATAAACATACTTTTAACCAACCATAAGCTTATTAATATTTTCAACATAGTCATTTAGAATGTTAATTTGATCAAATAATACTAGCTCATAAAACCTAAAGCTCAAAGACAATAAAAACCAAAGTGCATTCAGTCAATAAAAAATTATCTTGAGATATTTGCCAAAGCATGTCAAATTCGCGAAGGGATAGAACAAACTAATCAATAAAATTTAAGGAGATGTGCGCGATAGACTTATCTCCACGTGGTGCATAATGGACAACGTCTACTTACACGACAAAAAAGTCTATGAACCGGCAGTTGATTTAAGACTTCTAGCTACCATGACCCAACTGTATGCCATATTCGACTTTTTTCAATTTGATGTTCCTCCCCTGTGAAGCCCGAAGTCAGCTAGGGGGCTAATGATAACGATTAAAGCGCTTGCCATTTGATATGAATAAATATGGTTCAAGGAAAGAATTAATAAAACCGGGTTTTGAATAAAGCAAACCAATAAGGGAAGTTGACCTTCTAATAGACAGGCGCGAGAATGGATTTTACTGCAATGAAAGTACAATGCATGGTTTAAAAATACTGGCATATTTTATGAAGAATTAATCTAGAACTCCTAATATACTAAAAGCACACATAAATAAAAACTATAATAAATGATGCGCCAAATTCGAACCCACCTCCATTATGATCAAAGATGGAGAAGGAAGGATTTGTGCGGTTCAATACATCATCCCTGATATTATCACAACGGAAGAAGCAGTGGAGCTCCGTTATCGATCGATAAAGACAGTCCGCCGAGCGTTTGCTCGCTAACTCATAATTCCGCATTTTCACAGATCCGTCATCTTCAAGGAGATTCAGGGTTACAACACGGCCTGCAATTGTCACTGTCTTCAGTCGACAGTAGGGAAATCTATTTGAAAGAAGGACAAAAGGAAACAAATCGTTTGACAATCACCATGAAAGCGAAAGCAATAGTTTTAACAGCCTAAAATTTACATTGGAAGTCAATATTGCTTTCATAATTAGTAAATCTTCATATTAGTCCTCTTGAAGATAGGAAAAATTGAGTAACGTAACTTTGGTACAATAATCACACTATCTACAAGATTAATTCACACAATCAAGATATCGAACTTTGAAGAATCGAATGTGTAAGTACCTATCTGGATGTGCATTGATTATATCTTAATCTAACCAAAGAACTGCTCTACTCGAATTACCCGGTTTCTTTAGCCATTATTGACTTACCGTTCAATAAAAGTCCCGTCCAATTGACATAATGCCACATATTCTGGTCCCGCGCCCATCAGAAGTCGATGTCCAAACATGTCTAAAATCTTATAAAAGTAGACACCAAACGCCGGCACCTCCTCGTGTGCAATACGAAGCAGTTCGTACTCGGCAGCTCTCACAGACATTCCAGTGAGTTGTTTGTGGTAGTTGGCTGCGATTGAGAGGACTTCGTGGGGCACTTCAGCCCGACGATCTGACCAGAAACAGGCGTATTTACAAGGAGTGGTGGAAGCGTTGAAGCTACCGAACTGAACGTAGGTCATGAGGGCGATTAAACGGGATTGGAGTTCCAGAGATGTGTCTGCATCCCATAATCCAAGTTTCAACTGCTGTAAGGTGTTGAGGTAGAACTGATGTCTAAAAGATCGAAACTAATATAATTAGAAGTGAATAAATGAGTTGGGTTTCAACGTGTTTAGTTAAAACTAGAATATCAAGATTAAAATGCATTGTTTGTTTAAGATGACCACAATTTTAACTAAAATATAGAAATATTTTTAAATTACATAAAAACAATAGAAACAACTAAAATTATTTTTATGGAAACCATGAGAATTAAATAACAGAACCTCATTTTATTACAAATATATTAACGATTTTATTAATTTATTCTAAGGAGAAAATAATAAAATAATAAAAATAATAAATAATAAGATAATAATAATAAATAAAAAATAAGAATTTATTAACATGCCTCAATGTATGAATGACTATGTTGGACAAAACACCCTCAATTTATTAATCAAACAAATAGTATAGTAAGATGTAAATTTTAATTGAATAAGTAACTGAACTTAATAAAGCTTATATTTTATGAAAAAAAATTGAGCTACAATTTAGCTCAAGGTGAATATGAGCGCGTGCATTTTTTGAGGAAGTCAAACAGAAAATTGTCTTACTTTGTCTCTTCTAGGACTAGATTGTACGGAGGAACGAAGTATTTCACTTTGAAAAAGAGGTTAAAAGGGGGGTTACCGGGAACCTGCTTGGATAATCGATTTCTCATGTTCAACCAAATCAGATCACCTTTCGAAAGGGCATACTGTAATCCAAAGTAATCCGCTTCATCCTGGATTCCGAGAAGGGTACATACCTTGGGGAATAAGTGAATAGACAGAATTTATCCCCAATTGGAAATTTGAAAAGAGATATAGGAGTTATCTCAAGTCACCTTATTTAGAACTTCCTCACCATTTGCTTTTGTATCGACATCAATATGGAGGACAATATTATCCGGTTGGGTGACAAAACATGTTATAAGACTGCCTGAGCTCCCTTGTCGATATGTTTCTGATATCCCCTTTTGTTTAAAGGTGTCAACTCGCTGTGCAAGAGCCATACGGAAGAAAATTCCATTCAATGTGTTGTGTTTTACAGGTCTAGTGGAGAGGAATTGCAACACCCCATGACCGCTTTTAGACAGAACTGCTGCAAGCAACCAATCAGCTGGTTGCAAGGGTAGAAGTGGATGTGTTGATTGGCGGATATGCTATTGGTTATTTTCATGACTGACCAATGACAAATAAGGCACATCAGCTGCTTAGTCTCAGAACCTCAAACGGTTAGGCACACGTTTTTATGTATTAAGGCACGTTTTAAAATGAACTTCCTTCATAAATTAATAGCACATATCTACGTCTAACTCTTACAAAGAAAAATGGATATGCGCTCCCTTTAATTACACAAATTTAGAGAGTTTGTAAGAATTTTCCAAAGAAAGCTTTAAATTGCAACCGAAGTAAACATTTTCTTTGAAATATTTACGAATATGTGCAAATCTGCTGGCTAAGATCGGCTGAAGAAAAGTTGAGCAAATTTTAGTTTCAATTATCCAAAATATAAAAGGGCCCAATTTATGGATGTGATGAATAATGTAAAGTAAGGAGACAGTCTATGGGAAAGTGACCACAAAAGGGTGAATATATTAAACTTCGGTCACAACTTGCAGCCACTTCATGAAATATTTTCTGAATCGGTGTTCTTCTCAATATATTTGGATCTGCAAATGCACTAAAATTTGTCCCATTCATTATAATTGCTTGACAGATAAAGTTCACTTCCAAATGGGAAACTACTTTTTCAAAAAAACAACTTGTGATTTAATAATTCCAATTATTCTGTTCATGAACATTAACAATCAAAACGGAATCATCTTTTTCATCATAACACAACGATGATTGATGTAGAGTAATCGTAAATGGGCGGGGACAATACTTTGAGTCAAAAAGGAGTTAATTACTACCAGAATATGAGAATTATTATAGTACTTATTTTTATTCAGAATCTTTTCAAGATACCATTTAATAAATACTCAAATTTGTTAAATAAAATGGGTCATTTAGTGTAGAATAGAATAAAATTTGTTTGAGAAGGAGAATTAGTCAAACTCAAGGATTCGCCACTTCGTGTTCCTGATGTCAGACACGGCAATTATGCAACAAATGTATTAGTCAGACCATTTTTAGTTATTTGAGCATGCAGACAACGAGAATCCTTTCCATTCATCATTGCCGACCTAATTGAATCACGTCAATGTGCGGAGGAGAAAGTGAAGCAAAGAGGTCGTTGTGCGAGAGTAGATTTAAACCCATGTCATATATACATATATGTGTGTAAATATATGCATATAATTAAATAATTTCTCCGAATTTATATTAACACCTGGGGTGTGCGAGAGACTTACCTCCTCGTGGTGCACCCTGGGCAACGTATACTCATACGGCAAAAAGGTCTATAAACCGGAAGTTGGCTTCAAACCT